ACACTGCTAATAGATAATGCTGCAACTTCTACGACTGACTGGCTTCCAATTTCTCCCAACGATATCATCCCTAAATCACAGGGGAAATGATCACCAACTAACGAAGCTCTTGGTTATCGAACAAATTCTCCTTATCAGCAATTTAGGAAATTTACAGAGATCAGTATGGAGAATAAGCATACTGATGTTGAGGCATAAATGGTTAAGGGTATGGAAACCAGTCTAATCTGCGACTGTGATGGGTCACCGCAATTTCTTCAGCACTGCTGAATACAAAGGGGAAAACTCTGACATATAAGTATACATGTACATGTATCTCCTAGAAAAAATAAAAAGATACTACTTCCTATGAATTTTACTAGGACCTCTTACCACATGCTCTTTGATCTTTTCCATGGTGATCAGTCGCCGAGAAACATGTCTAGATAAACCCTGCTCACTGTTCGCTACAAGTCTGAGGCATGGGTGACTGGGAAGAAACTCGTCTGAATAACTAGGTGTACGTAAAAAGAACAGAAAACAATGTGTCCTTGTCACGCTATAGATACAAAAGAATTTAAAGCTTCGGGGTTCCAGTGCAACCATAGCGCAAGACACACTAAGGAAACCTTAAGGGAGCTTATCAGACAGAAGACCCCTCCTGCCGCAGCTAATTCGTAGCTCAGCGACCTGTAACCTATCGCAGCAGGTTCACGTGGAAGCCGACTCGGATTTTCCAAGTGGCCTGTGTCGCAGAATCAACGAAAAAGATAATAAGGAAAACAACAGTATTCACCTTGGTCGATAAATTGGAAGCCAGTAGACTAGCCGGCCGTGAAGAACAAGATGTCGCGCGGCTAGGTCTAATAATGCTGTGAGTATCTCTGACAGACGACAGCCACGCACCGCTGAACACGGCGACGTCTGATCACTGAAAACGAACACAGACCTTGGTTGCTTTCTGTACTAATAAAATTAAAATAAGTCGCCTTACTTTTTTTCTCTTTGTCTGTTCATTTGACTGACTGACTGACTGACTGACCGATCGATTAACTGACAGATAGACAGACAGACTGACCGATGAACTGACTGACTGACTAAATACCCGACTGATTGACAGATAGACAGACAGAGAGACAGGCAGACTGAATGACTCACTGACTGACCAACTGACTGACGAAATGTGTCTGACTGTCTGACTGGCCACCTAGTTGGCAAGTTTGTCTGTCCGAGCGTCGGTCGGACTGACTGTCTCGCACACTGACTGACTTACTGATTGACAAGCTGTCTGTTTGTGTGTTTCTAGCTGAAGGTTCCTTCCTTCTTTCTGTCCTTCGTTCTACATTTCTTTCCTCTTTTTTCCCTTCCATTCATTTCATTTTAGACATATTTCTACTTACACACTCTCATTCTCCTCATGAATTTCCATATTTGTGTCTAACTTACGAGCTCCTTCTCGGATTCCATAAGGTGCTGAAGCGATTGAAAGAAAGAAAGGAAGTATAAATACAAAATTATCAACGACATAAAACAGCACTGACAAGCGAAACAGACACGTTACCACAAGAAATTTGTTTCCTTCTCGGCCGAAGCAAACTCACGGTCTGCTGCGCGGTAGAAAGCTAGTCGTGTTCAGTTTTATTTTTAACTGAAAGGTTGAGAAGGGAGCGTGATATTTCTCTACCAGTCAAATAGCAAATTAAACCATTAAAACAAAGATAATTTCTCTCCCAGGGAAGAGAAGAAAATGAGGTATAGAATTCACCACGACAGTAAGATAGTCTTTCCAAGCTAACTGATATGCAGTCTGTGTTTCTACTCACGGTCTGTTATGATTGCATCAAACAAAGGAATTTCTCGCAGTCCCAGTCTCCCAGCGTCAGCTATAAGTATATCAACGAAATAACTGTCGAGTCCATATTGTGCAAAGTTTGCCCGAAAATTCTCATCGCGACCTAAAGAAACAGAGGAAAAATGAACTCACATGTATACAAATTCTCACTACCAGAAGGTTTCTACGGTGTCGCAAAATTACAATTAGAATTCGTCAAATGATCAACTAGAGAGTGGTAGGATTAACACCCTAAGTTTTCTGGAGGTTAAAAAGGAAGATTTTTCGTACCTCTCCACTGGCCTTTCCTGTCGGCTCGTGAACTTCTACCTGAGGGGAAGAAAAAAAATACATGGAAAAGAGTTAACAGGATGCCCCTCCTGTATATGAAAGGCCATAAAACAACGGTACTCTTGCTTTTTTTTTTTTTTTTTTACTACTTTGAGTCACCTACCTTACAGTCTTATTTTTTTTTCATGACCTTCACGACACTACGACACTCACAAACCAAACTTTTTATTTTTTGGTGATAAATTTCCTTTAAACATATCACACGTGCGGCGCTGAAAATCATATGGACTGTTTTCCTTCTACACTTTGCTGGATAAATTTTAAAACTTAACAAATAATGGCGGAAGAAACGTTTTCGTATATCCCTGGGCATACTCACGCGGAAGGCTAAACTGCCACGTTCCCCTCCCCCCCACGCCCCCCCTCCCCCCTCGAAAAGGCCTGATTTGTTTTCATACCACACTAAGATACAATGCCGACGATTTCAATTGAAGCCGTTTTGAAGAACACTTTGAAGAGAAGTGTTTTCAGATATCTCTGGAGTAGCGTGGACGGAGCCCTCGAGCTTTTGTGCTGATAGTCAAAAGGGATTTTGAGACAAAAAATAACAGATCGAGTACCTCTACCATGAAGCAGTGTATAATCTATGTCACTTCCCATCACATGGGCACCAAAATGAGCGCAGGCCACAAGAACACTACCTGTAAGAGACAAAGCTTTGTGAAAATGACAACTTCTGTGCATCGAGTTGTTATTTTTCGTAAAGACCATTACATAGCTATCCATACAAGGACAGGATATTTTTCGTGGTCGACTTTACGTAAAGTCTTATGCATGAAATCTAAGGCATGCGATGTTTAACCCTTACACTCCTATGAGTGATCAAGAAAGAATTTCTCCATACAATATCAGTACGATATCAACCAGATAAGTGATGAGAGTAAAGAAAAATATCAATTTGGGAATAATTAGTTGATCCGATGCTAAATTCTCCGAACTAACATCATAAAAATTATATAGTTGACAGTAAGGAGAAGTACAAATTTGATCTGGGAGTTTAAGTAAAACGGTACAGCCAAATCAACACGAACGACAATGAAAAACATTAAAATAAATAAATAAATAAATAATTTAAAAAATAGCGCGGCAGCTCACCTGTTCCAACAAAGGGATCAAAAACAAGACTGCCTGAACGAACCTGTAAATATTACACACAATAAATTTAAAACCGTAAAACCTCAAAATTTGTTTCTCTATACACGTGAAGAAAGGTTAAGTGAGCTCACGCGTCAGAAGAACCATTCTCGTGAAGCTCATCCCAGTTTCATCTGCACGAAGCGACAAAGAGTGTTGCTACTCGTTAGCTCGCTGAGGAACTTTCATCCACAAATACACAAAGTAAGGCATTGTGCAAAAGTAATAAAAGCGAAATGGGAAGATTTTATTCTTTGCCATCGCGAACTTTAAAGAACTTTTACCCTAAAATTTGAGCAATAATTTGGGTTTTATTTGAGTCTTTTTGCTAAAACGATTAAAACAGAGCGCGATTATTTCCGAATTTGGCAAAAAAAATTTGTTTACAGCAGCGGAATTTTTCTAGCGGTGCGCCAAGTTACCACAAATAGGCCCCTTTCACGTTATGATGACAACCAGATCCTGTTGAGGACAATTCAAGCCATCGAAAAATGCGGTTGTTAAAATATATTGATATACCTGTCCCTGATTGGCCATCAGGAATGACAGTTGTGGATCCATGGATGTGTTGCCGATAAAACGCCTTGTCTTGAGTGAATACTGTTTGAACAAGTGACGCTGACCGTGTCCCACCTGCATGTCAATAAAAATATATTTTAATGAATCTCGTTTCAATAACATAAGTAAAATAGAACGTTCTAGAATGACATTAGAAATTTCGTGTATGCATGTCCGCATGACTAGGCATTCTAGAAAATTCTGGAAACTTAAATCTACCTTACAGTTATTATCCATAACATTATAAAGAAGATTTTTGGATCCTTACCAAGCGACCAAAGAACAACCTCTGGGGACTGGGTGGGGCTTCATTGGGGTCATCTCCATAATCCAACAACAGTGCAAACAGATTATCAGGAGCTGTCAGATTCACACAGCCTTGAAAAGGAAGGAATTGGAATTGCTGTGGATAACAAGGTGTGCTTTTCTCAATTTGCTTAAAAACTAAACAATGTAAATGAAAAAAGCAGCAACAACAACCAAACCGTGAAACAAGCAAACAACAGACCATATGCTCGATGGTGTATACTTTTAAATCAAATTCACACAAAGAATTATTAAACTGAATTTGAAACCATTAAAAAAAATTAGACAAATCATTTTGACATCATAATGATACCTTAACAACACAAATGCTCTAGTGGGTCAAATACCAATAACAACAGCAGCCTGGTCAAATAAGGAGCAGATGATTGTTTTTATTTTTTGAGGGGGGAGTGGATAGTGAGGGACTTACAAAAACCACTGGTTCACCAACAACTGTGTTACCCTTAAAATAAAATTCAGACAAATCTCTGAGCTGTACAAGTACATGAACTTGTATATAGCGAGAACCACAAACCATGAGAGATAAAGGTCAGATATAATAAGTAATTTTTCAGGCTTATGATCAGGTTAAAACTTTTTCTGCATTAACAAAAATTTTAGTATATAATATGAGAGTACCATAAACCATGAAAAATTCTTCTGGATTTTTCTGAGTTCTAAATTTTAAAATAAAAGTCATTTACTCACATCAATTAACTCTCTTTGTTGATTTATGGACAACTTTTTATTAAAGGACTCAATGCTGATTTTAAAAGATTTGTCACCGGATGTGAAAGTTCTCTGGAAGACAAAAATGCAAAAAATAATTTAGTAAATCAGCTATAGTTAGTAGTTAAGATCTTTATAACTCCAATTTTATCAATCATACTAATTACTAGTTTTTATTCTTCCTCAGGGTAAATTCTGGAACCAGTTTGATCTTTTCCACATCAAATTTGTGTCATGTACTTACATTTTGTAGGATCAGACAAAGACTAATTAGAAAATTTCTGGTGAGGGCTAGAGTGAACAAATTTTCTTTTGAAAACAAGGTACCTATAAACTAATTTCTTGTTGACATAAAATTGATAAGTGCATTGTGGCTATCTTCACAACAACAACAACAACAATAACAACAGCAGGAAGAGCATTTACCATTTTATCAGGTGGATATTGGAGAAGGTTCTCCTTTAATGCAGTTAAATTTTCCCCTTGTCCCCACAATTCATAGACAGACCTAAATGTAAATTAAGCACAATTATGAAGAATGCTAATAGGAACATGTATTTTATGTATTGACAAACACCAAGAAATTGACCTCCTAGTTTTTTTTTTTAAATTTATTTTTTTTTTATGTCTTTTTTTTTTTAATTTCTTTCACCATGAAGGTGTGGGGCACACAACAGAGTGAGGCTCCAAATTAAGTGTGTACTTAACAGAGGCTCTGTGAGAATGAAGTGTCTTGTTCAAGAACACAGAGCATTGTCCTGGCCAGGTCCTAAAACCTGGGCCTCTTGACCCGAAGTCCAGTGCACTGACCAATTTAAACCACTGTGCCTCTTCAAGTTGGTTTCTGTCCAATTTTGCAGTTTGCATCTATCTAACTATTGTGTACAATATTTACACAATGTACATGAGGATCCAATGAGTAACTGAAGTCTGTCCAAGAAGCATATTATCTTAAAGCTTATGAAATCTTATGAAATCCCTGGGGTCTCTCAGCTAACCAGCACGGATGCATTTTTTCCCAAATACATGAACAATATAGGATCAAAAGGTTACTGGCATATTTTGTTTTAAATAGCCTGCAATATTCTGTGTAGTGGATCTTGCACCATACTGGACCCTGCTTTGGAACAGACTTACATGCTTCAAGGTTACATGTGTCTACCGCAGTAAGCTAATATTTCAGTTGAGGCAAGGCCTCTCAATGGTTAAAATAGATAACAAGGTTTAAAATGACTTATAAGTCACTCACTTTATGGAAACTGTTCTGGATAACAGCTTCCTTGCACAGTCTTCATTTGGCAAATGAACTACAAGATAAGGATTCTAGGGCAAAGAAGTGGAAACAATAACAAACAAAAGTATTAGTTTTATAAAACATCTTGTTAACTTTGTGTAAACATTAACTGGCCAACCCTAGTCATCCTTACCAAACCAGTAATTTTTCTCAGTTTTTTTAGTTCCTTTGGTTTTTTTCATTAGTAGTTTGAATTCATACCACAATGTAGAGAGAGTTGGGTATCAAACCCAAGAACACCACACAGTCATTCCACTCAGGGTTGTCCCTAAGAAACAAAGCTTCTGGCTAAAATGTCAAGTGAGACGCCTTAAACCTCTAATGCCCAGAAGTGATTGACATGTAACTTCTCCCTGTAATATCTATACATCATCCACAAAACAGGTATTGAGAATACTCAAACTTATCAGGTGGAGGTTGTACTCTTGATCTAACACCAAATTCTTATAACTAATTCAAAAGGAAATGTGTAGCAGCTAGAGGAGAGAATTAGCAATCAGCCTTTAGGATTTAAATGGTTAATGTACATGTAGATGCTTTGCTGAGACCAGGCTTGGTAACAAAATTTTGTCTCCAGTCTTTTTGTAACTCCTTAAATACAGTGTACTAAGCTGCCTGTTCACAAAATGGTGGATACGAGAAACAGATAGAAGTCACAATAATTAAATGCTCGAAACAATATTTTATATCAGTTATTTTACCTGTGGAAGTGTCCCTAATACTCAGGTTAGTCAGGATTATATATCAATCTTGTCAATTAGATGATAGCATTTAATGTTGAATGATTGTAAGTGCATTACCTTGGAAATACCTATCATGCTTTACAAAGCAATCACCTAGGGCTAAAATGCTGACCTTTCTTTCATTCCCAAGTTCAGCATAAAAGCTACTTCTGGTATCATGGTAATTTAGTATTATCAACTAGGTTGAAAATGATTATTTACTCTGATAAAGGGCTCATGCTCAAAAAAGGCAGCTTTGGAACTCTTTACAGTGGCCAATTAAAATTATCAATTCAGTTGATAATACCAAATTACCCTGTTACACTCTCCCACCAATGCAGCACCACAGTTTCATTAGGAACTTACTACCTTTGCTTATAGTATGAATGGATTGTCTTGAAACTCACTGCACAACAATTAAAAACCAAAGGTTAATCTGCTTGTTATCCCAAACATCATAGGAGGCATTTTAGCTCAATGAAAAAAAGTTGCAGTGGCCTTATGAACAGCTCATTAATTAAGGTGATTCTTACTTCTTTCCTGTGGTCCTCACTCTCCACAAGTACTTCAAAACCAAACATCATAGAGACTGATAACAACTCCTAACGTAAAGCAAGGCAGAAAAATTGTTAGTTCCCTTCACATGGAAGCTTGCAGTCCACTCCAAAATAATGAAATAGTTATTATACCTCTGATGAGAAGTATGTTGTTGCAAAATGTTTAGCTCAGTTTAAAATGTTTCAAAAGTAGTTTGATTTTTATTTTCATGCTATGATAACGAATAAAAGAAAAAAAGAGAAAATCAGGCTGGTCTCAAAAATCTAAAATCAGGAGAGATTCGAACCATAACATATACATCACAGTGCTTAGATAAATCTAGAGAGAGTGAGAGTGCAACCATTCTGCCAGACCAAATCTGCCATATATGTTCTTGCTCAAAAAATTAGTTCTTTCACTCTTTTGGCATTCCCGCCAACATCAGTGTTTCAGCGGATCATAAACAGATGAAGTACAATCTACGCAGTCAAAGCGCGCACTCGGCTCGCTATTTTCGCCGACGTTTCGACCGGATTAAACCGAGAACTAGAAAATTGACTGTTTAAGTAGGAACCCAGTGAAGAAAATTTTCGTGTACCAACCGATATTCTAAAATCCACGTGTTCTTGGGCAAAAAGACACACAAATTGTACATTCAGTTCCACCTCAGCTTCGTCCGCCATTTTGAATTTAGCGCGAAAAGAAGTATGGTATAGCCGTACTCTGCAGTATCCCTCGACAGCAGCTCGCGCGAAAAGTTAAAAAAAAAAAAAAAAAAAAAAAGTCGTTCAAAATATTCTGAAAATCAGGATTTTCCAGCTAATGTTTCAGCGTTATGCAATCTTGCAGGTGCGTGGAGTATTTTTAAAGCCGGGATGGTTATCTTGTAGTTTTTATGGTAAAAACAGCAGCAACATAACTTCAGGATAGGACTTTCTTTTCTTTAAAATAAAATCATTAAACAACTTGAAGAGTTCTCTCCTTTAAATTTCCGCTCTTTTTTGAGAAAATGAGTATAGAAGCTGGGAAAGATGGATTGCGATGAATCATTCTCAGATGACGATCGTGACTCGACAAAAGTTGAATGAAAAGTGAATGAATCAGACAAACATTGATGACGTAAGGATAAATCAGACACGAAAGTGGAGAAGATTGACGTATGTACAGCGAAGTATATCATATCTGCTCGATTTTAAAAACGCCGGGGCATTTACGAAATTTTTAGCGTTTTCTATGCGTAATATAGCCGAAGAGGGGATTTTGTTAGAGGGCGGCGTTTAGTTCAAAATAACATTTCTTTAATTACACGCTATAGTTAAAGTAGATAACAGAAACTTTTTTAAGTCCCAACATGTCTAATGTCTCGATTTTGACAGGCATTTTGTAAGCATGATGTAGATTACCAAATTGACTGCTGAACCAGTTTGACAATTTATTCAGTTTAGCTGTTGTGCATAAAGTATAGGGCAACCCGGCCATTCAAGAGGGGCGTGTAGTGATTGTTTTGCTTCTATCTACTGCATATTGACGAGGGCATGGTTCTACAGAGAAACTATGCGCCAAATTAATTGTCGCAAAATTCATTCCGCTTCAGTCGATAACAACATGAGGAGTTTTCGTTGTTGCCCAAGGTGAACCGGTTGAACTTGAATCAAAATGCATGACAAACTTCCGGTTTTTTTATCAGGAAAAAATTAATCTCTTTCATGGATTACAAACACATATAACTTAACCCCTTCTCTTATTCACTTATTGTCTCTCATTTATCATCTATATGTTTGTTCATTTTTTATTATATTGTTTGTTTTCTGCTCGCTACCATTTCTTATGTTCTTTGAGTCTTTCTCTTAAAGATTAACTGTTCTTTGAGGCCATTTTGTAATTATAGAGGCTTTACTTGCTTATGATGACGTAGCGTAGGGGTTTTAAACGAGATTTGTATTTCTAGAGATGATTTCATCCCAGTCTGGGTAATAAAGCTCTTTCATCCTCTGAGCATGCGTATGAAGGTTCTGTGCTTTTGTCTCGATAAGTTCGTCAAACGGACTTTTTGGAAGATCCCAGGCGGATGCAGCAATGAAGGCAAACAGTGCTGCATCGGCAAGGCAAGGTTTATCTCCAAACAGAAATTTCTTCTGGCCTAAAATTTCCGAGACTGCTAGCAAATCTCTTTGCGCGATTCCATACAGTTCTTGTTCCGAGTGTCGACCCATGCCATGTCCCCATAAATCCTGTTTGATTTTCTTCGTTATTTGGTGAGCTATTAGGTGTTTAAGGGGGAAGACGAGATGGCCAAACTTTTTCGTGAACAGCTTCCTTCGATATTCTTTTCCAAATGCAGACAGCCAACGGCAGTAAACAAGAGCCCTATGAAAAGATCATGATAAACATTCTGTGAGAAAACTTAAGGCTGTGAAACTCGTTTTTCCCCTTAAGAGAACCACTTTCATTAAAGCATCACTTTTGTAAATGGTAAATGAGGCAGTATAGTGAAAGCCTTCGATACTATTTAGATTATGTTCTGAATAAACAAATTTCACGGTATCAGTCCAAGTGAAAATGAAAACAGATGACTCTTCGCGAAAGGAACTTCTTAGATCGTCAATATATGTATAAATATCTTTCTATAACCTTGTAACCTATTTGATAGGCACAGCTAAGAGATCCTTGTTATCTATTGGCATGATCTATTGTTATTCTGCTTTAGGATACAGATTTAAAGAATAAGGCAAATTGCCTTAAAAAGCTACGTTTACCAATATGTGTTTTCTTCCAGCATGGTTCGAACACTGTGAGCGATGGCTTTTTCTGTCTCGTTCAAATGAGAATCAATGTCCACTTTGAATTCCCTTTTCAGAAAATGGATACAGAAATTTGAATCAGCGATTTCTTGCTCATTAAATTCGATCCACGGCATTTTTCCCTTCTTGGAAAACTTTAAGCGATGGTCGTTCCGGTACGGGATTTTTGTCATACGAAGGAAAGTTTCCAACTTCAGACAAGGCGGAGAACCACTAACTGACAACTCTGTCGGAGCAAACTGGTGTAGGATAAGTGTTTCTCGCTTGGCAGCTATCTTTTTCTTCTTAAAAATCTGCATCTTAGTTAGGTTACAAGTGGTGCGCTGCTTAATCCAACTGGTTTAGGTTTTCCAGAGCGAGGCCTTATTACATGCATTTAAGTTGTCTTCCCTTAATAAATACAATTAATCATAGTTTTGGTATCTTAACAACTTAGACGTTATTGCACGTGATATATTTAACTAAAATACGCCATTACTAAGACATGAAACTGATCCGCATTCTTCTCTGCCGGAAGCCAATATTGTGCAAGATTGACGCAACTTTGAGGACGGTTTATCTCTTCAATATCCATCTAATTGTTATTAATTTACTCATTTTACTGCTTTCCTCGTTCTTTCTAGGGAAGGAGAAGCCTTCAACGTAGCCATTTAGAGCTTGCCGGCGATCATGGAAACTCTTTGAGCCAAATTTTCGCAGGGTCATCATAAGCGAACTGTATACTTGATGTTCAGCGCCTCCCTAAGCCATATATATGTTCCGCTCGTTTCAATATTGGTTTTCGAAGACAAATTTTAATGTTTTGATGCCAGCAATGAATAAGCATAATTTTTATAATGTTGCTAGTTTCGGCTTAAATGAAATTCCTTTTACTGAGGTAACTTCGCGTCGACCACGATAAAAGAAACCTCTAACTGAATTAGTTTCGCTTCGTCTTTACAAAGCCACTTTTCGCTTAACTCACGTAACATGTGGTGATGAAATATTCTTAAGGGGGTTAGAGAAGCCCCTTAGGGAAAGACTTCCCGTTCTCAGTGATAAAAAGTATGTTTCGCCGTAATAAATGACCGTCTGACTTTTAAGCACTTTATTTCTTCGTGAATTGCGTACCTTGAGCTCTTTTAGGACGGTACCATTTTTAGGTTGGGAGCATATAAGAATCACTTTGCTTTTTGCCGATCATACATCTTTTTCAGAATACCAGAGCTTTTCGAAACTGAATAAGTTGTCAGGGTCAAGAAATTGAATTAAAAACTGACCCCCAAGTAAATCTCAGGCTCGGGTTTGGCAAAAAATTACCAAAGAAAAATCAACGTAATGCTTTTCTTTTGCAAACTAGCATAGTGTACTATAATATATCAAGATATTTTAGTCTCTTAGATAGAGGTTGATTTCCTCATAAACATGGGTAAATCCCGCAAGATCAGGTTTCCTTGTCTCGTATTCTACATAACATTTTCCTTTTGTTCCAATATCGAACCAATTAAGGATACAGTTTGATTAATCTATAAACACAAAAATAAAACCCGCACGACCAGATTCCTTTTCTCGAAATTCACACATTTTCGAATTTCCGAGAGCATTGCTTTAAAAGTTTTATGCTCTTCTCAAAGAAATGGGCAGCTTGTGCGGAATCAGCTTTTACCATAAAGAGCAAGAATTGTGAAGTTTTTGAAGTTTGCTTAAATCAGTGTATAGCGTGATCACATCCGAGTCAAATAAAGTACGTAGATATATAAGGTATTCGTTTAATAAGATGAGAAAAGAAAACAAAAGAAATAGATAGCCGGGAAAGCTTCTAAACAATTCTTTGTACTCACGACGATAATTCTAACCTCGCTGATATCAAATCTATTCCTGAATTTTTGAGACACACGACGATGAAGTTAAAAAAAGGGGGCAAGTTTCTATAGAAACTGTGGTGGTGTTGTCGCTGATGGGTATTACAAGGTTTTTTTTTAGTCTATTATGAAATTGCCCATTGTAAAGAGTTTTGAGCGTGAACATTACGTCAGCTCTTTCGCTCTGACGAAGGACTAACGCTCAAAACGTCAGCTTAAGAACTCCTTGCGGTTGCCAATTTACATCATCATCTCAGACAAAAAAACCAACGTATCTAGCAACGAAGTTTATCATTATCACTATTACGGAAGTTTATAACGGAAAGTATTTCGGGTTGATGCAGTGATGCCCAAGATAACCGCGCTATGAGGTTATCGCGCCCGCAAAGGTCAGGCGAATAAGAGATACCATGCAGCTTTTGTGCCAAAGTATTTAACCCAATAATACTATATTACAATGCTAACATGAACAATTGCGGGTTCTAATTTTTTGTGGATTCTGTGAGTTGACCTTCATATACAAAAAAGTGAACTTACGTCATCACAAGTTTTTTGTCGTTGTTTTGTTTGTTTGTTTTGTTTTGTTTTTATTACGAGTAGTGCATGCACTATTCCCAAACTATTCCTTATGATAAGGTATAGTTTGGGAAACAAAATATGGTCGATTTACAACGCTAAATATTCCGAAATGTGAACATTTTACTCTCCTTGTGTGTCCGGTGCGGTTTCTGGTGATTTCTGCCATGAGACGGCTAGGAAATGTACAAAGTTTTAAAACATACGTTTTTAGCTTTTGAGCTTTTTGCCATGAATGCGACAGATGGGCGGGTTACCCTACCTTGAGACGTTTACATGGCAAATTGTCACCCTGGCTGACAGGGTTACCCCACTTGGCAGACCGGGAAAACCGCGTTGGCGGGTTACCCTCACCCATCATGTAAACATGACCAAGATAAAATGAGAGATTATATGGAAAGGCGGGTTACCTCACCTAAGCGGGTTACCTCACCTACCTGGGGTTCCCCATCTCCATGTAAACGGGCCTAAGATGAGCAAGTTATGGGATTGGAACATGATATCATGAATTATCAAAAGCGAGCAGTTTACCAGCCACTTAATATAGGTTCGACTCACAGTATCACGTATTGTAAATCACTAATATTTTTAGCATCATTTTGTAATTTCTGCTTTTTAAATAGTTTATTCTTAAAATCCTGTGATCGTAAGTACTGTGCTGTAAATAGTTTATCATTAGTGGTTCTTAGTGCTCCATATTCTTGATAACATAGATAACAGTAGATTTAGAATATTATGTCACCATTTTTACCCTAGTAATCATAAAAATTACATTTTCCTCGATTGTAATTGGTTTAAAAAACTCGTATTTTCCTCTAATTCACGTGCCAAGTTGTTATCGAACAATTCAATATGTTACATTTAAAGCTGTAGTTTACATCAACCAATCATGCGATCACAAACATGATTTCAATTACCATAGAACATTGTATAGAATCTCATAATTTGGCTATTCTCCTTTTATCGGAAACAGTAAATTTTATGATTAATTGGTAACAGGACTTCGTGTCGTTCAATTCGGTCTGTAATCATACGAATCCGCTGCGCGGTCGTCCGATTTTGTTACCGCTCGCATGATTACCGACCAACCTGTCTATTACCATTGCTTATCATAATTAGAATTAACAATGGAGTGTAATATAGGGAATCATCTTTGTTTCGACTACATTTGTAGCGCCCTATTCCTTTGTTATAACCTTACTGTATTGCAAAACGGCTCTCAATCGGTACAAAGATTTAGTATTAATCGTGAGCAAATCCACGCATGTTCTTTGCCAGTACTCTTATACAAAGTCATTCAGAATTTTTAGTTATGAATTAAAATAATAAACAGTATAAGGAATAAAAAAAAAATCTCTACGATGCCAAGAATTCAGTCAGATTTAAGCTTCCTAGTGATTTCATCCCAGTCGGGATAGTAGAGTTCTTTCATTCGCTGAGCATGCCGCTCAAGATTTGTCGCTTTAGTCTTGGTGAGCTGGGCAAAAGGACTTTGAGGACAATTCCACGAGGCACATGCAACAAAGGCGAAAAGGACAGCATCAGCGAGACAGGGTTTATCTCCAAAGAGGAATTTCTTCTCCCCCAAAACTGCGGACGCTGCAAGAAGATCCCTCTCAGCTATTTCATAGATCTCCTGTTCGGAGTGTCGACCAATGCCCTGAGACCACACATCTCTTCTACATCGCTTCTGTATAACGTAGAATATCAGATATCTGAGTGGCCAGGAAAAATGCCCAAACAGCTGCATTCGCGTATACATGGCATAGTCCGGTGAAAAAAAGCGGTAATAAAAAAGGGCCCTGTAAAGGACAAAGGAGTATACGTAAGGGTTTTACCTCAAGTAGTTTAAATATGAAGTAATTTGCAGCAATGGTCTGTAGACACTCTGCTTTACGTGGTTGAACGAGTAATTTTCTATACGAGATTAGCTCGATAAACGCCGTTGTATCCTGGATTCGATGCTAGCCAATCAGGTGCCGGTTATTCCTCGGCCTGCCACCCTCCCTCCAACCCCCACTTCCAGGCCATGCAGAGCACCTCACTTCATTGCTGCCTGCCAACTATGACAAACTGATAACATCTCCCATTAAAGTATTACAAAAACAATTCGACTTCAGTGACACCAACGATGTAGCATTGACAAAAATAGCAACAAAAAATCAAAAACAAGGACATTCGAGAGCATCGCGAAACACTAGTAACGCTAACATGGAACATCAGAAACACCATGGACAGCAGTTTCGATTTCCGCCGCTCTCTCGTGTCCGGCCTTCGCTCCTCCTCGAGAAGGTAAAGGGTTTGGGGAGCGCGGGCTCATATCGCCAAACAGCGGCTGGTAATTGAGCAGCATCAGTAATAGCGCTTTGCAACCATTCAAGACAAAAAAGCTCTGCGGCTTTATTTTCCTCAAACACTTAGTGCGGTGTACACAAAGGTTTGAGACTCCAACATAGGTCGTCGTTTAGAGACTGGACTGAAAGTATTCTAATCTAGGTAACGGCGCAGCAAAAAAAAATATACACGGAAAATTTGGAGAAAATTTGTCTCTTTTGCCAAATTTTCCTATTCATAGGCAGTCTACTGCCTGCACACGCAAGAAATCTAATTGGTTTCCAGTCTCATTTGTTTGAGGCCAGTTTCACCCTGGTTTGCTTATCGGTTTGTTAGTTCTCCATAGCAGATGCAAGGTGCGATATAAAGAGGTAACTGAACCGTCGAACATGGTGTATTACTTGGTCAATCTTTAACGTTTATGCAAAACGATTATACATAGCAGTTTCTTTGTGTTTCTTCAATTAATTTTCAATAAACTACTAGACTGGAAAACGAGACTATAAGAAACGCCACCAAGCACAACAGCTACTGTGCATGTAGCAATTACATCATCAGGCAACTGCACAGCAAGCTCCAATATCGGCTCTGAGAAATGATTGTGTAGCGTGACCCTAACTGTCCTCTGTAGTTGTGATTACGTAATCATTCGAATCCGCGCGAAGCTTACAAGTACCTCTCACCTTAGGCAAACGAGAAATTTAAAGGAAAGGGAATAAAAACGATCGAAGCAACACTTACCAATACGTGTTCTCCTCTAACGTGGTTTGAATACTGTGAGCAAGTCCTTTTTCTGCGTCGCTCAAATGAGAGCAGTCAACGTCAACTTTGAACTCGTTCCTTAAAAACCGAATGCAGAAGTTGGAATCGGCGATTTCTTCCTCGTTAAACTCAATCCACGGAATTTTACCCTTTTTAGAGAATTTCAAGCCATATCTGCTCTCGTATGGAATCTTTGCCATGCGAAGGAACGTTTCTAGTTTTAAACATGGCGGAGAGCCACTCAAAGATAAGGGCGAGGGAAGAAACTGATGCAAGACAACTGTGCCAGGTTTTACAGGCCGTTTGTTCTGTTTTCTGCACCGTGCTCTCGTTAGGAAATAAACGATGAAGAATGCGGCTGTAGTGATTCCAACAAGTAGTTCTGTCTTCATCGCGTTTTCCTCAAGGCACAACTAATAA